ATTTTCAGCTTTTACGGCCATTCAGGCGTAGGATTTCGAGATTCGAATGCTGTGCGTTTCAGGAAGCTTGGCTGCCTGCTCCGATCTTTACAGATTCCCTGGATTGTAGCAGCCGACTGGAACCTTTCTCCAGACAGTATTATGCGTTCGGGATGGCTTGAGCGTGTTGGTGGCCAGATCGTGTGCTCCGATGCGCAGTGCACGCGCACCAGGTGGAGGTAAAACGCCCAGCCATCTTGATTTTCTCATTGTGAGCCATGCTGCACGCGCATATGTACGCCACGTGTTGCCAGTTGTCGCCGTGCCATGGAAGCCTCACATCGGTCTCAGCATCGAACTCGTCTCAGAAGGTGCACAATTGTACACTAGGTATCTTGACTTTCCTGCTCAGCTTCCGTTTGTCTGTGAGCCCCTCCGTCTGGCGACCCCAGGGTCCAAGGCCAGCGTGGCCAAAGCCAAGAGGGCGTTTTCAAGGTTGGAGGCCAAGCAGGTTCGGGACGAGCGTTTCAAATCTTGGTTTGGTCAAGGGCTCGGGCTCGAGGAGAAGGAGGCGGAAGATAATCGCGGTTCAGGGTCTGGTCTCGATCCCTCCTCGCTTGCCCCCCTTTCGGCCCTCAGCGGCGCGGACGCCAATTTCTGCGAAGGAGGTGAACCCGACTGCTCAGGCGACGACTGGGAGGGTTGCTCGGAGGACGACCCGTGGGCGGACGAGACCGTTTTCAGACCCGCCGCGCCGCCCCCCCCCCCCTCTGCCGCCCCTGATCCGCGTCGCACAGTCGGGCAGTCAGTGGAAGTTAATTCGGTCCCGCGTGAGCCTAGTTCCCCGAACCCAGCCGCTCAGGGGTCGTCTTCCGAGGAGCCGTCCGATACGCAAGCGTGGCAACCTGATTTTCACATTCCCAGCAGCACTTGGATTGAGCAGAGGTCGAGCGTCGGGTTCACTCCTGTCTCTTCGTGCCCTCCCGCTCCTTCCATTGCTGGCACCATAGCCTACCACCTCGGCTCAAGCGATTCGGCTGTGTTGCGCGCCCTGTACGCCAGTTGGATTCGCACAGTCGAGGTTTCCATATACACTCATCATAAGCAGGCTTTCACTGGAGCGCCCCGCAGTGTGGCACCTCAGTTTCAAGTATCGACTGTTCGTCAAGGCACTCCGTCACGCATAGCACCACTACGAGACCGAGTCTGCAGTTGGTGGACGCGTGCCAGTACAGTCATTAGCAGTATCACACGACACCTCCGACGGGCAGGAGGTGAGAAGCAGTTAAATATCCTTTTCGATTCAGGCCGACGGCTATTGGAGGACATCCCCGAGAGAGCTGCAGAGATCATTCGACGCACAGACAGCTTCTCTTGGGATTATTGGCATCACCTCCTTGGTCATTTGCGCAGTAGCACGCTGGCCACCTTGGACGTCAGCTCCCAGGCCATCGAGAAGCTAGCGGCTCGCAGTCAACGACGTGCTATTGGACAGGCCATGGGAGAGTTCAGAGAATGGGCCGAGACGGCACCAGCATTAGGCATTCTCCATAAAAAAGTTGAAGGAACCGATGCCAGAGGCTAAAGAAGTTGTAGTTGACGGCAAACCGATTTTACATCCAAAGGACGTCTTGGATCACAAGAGTCATGAGTGGGAGAAGATCTGGGCACCATCATTCTTATCAGCCAACGGGTCCAGCATCGAGATCGGGGGCTTAGAGCAGTTGTTTGATGACATTCGAGAACGGGTGAGGTACGAGTCCCTGCCCCCGCTGACAGTCCCCGACTTGCGAGAAGCCTTGAAGTTCATCAAGGCATCGGCGGCGACGGGGTTTGATCGCCTCAGCTCGAACGACTTGCTTCGCCTACCCGATGAGGCCTTGCAGGAGCTGTCGACCTTACTCAGTGCGTGCGAGGCCGCGCAGTCCTGGCCACACCAAGTCTTGCTCACCATCGGAACTCTTCTTCCAAAGAAGGTGAAAGGAGACAGAATCATAGGCCTGCTACCACACCTGTCAAGGGTGCGGTCGCAGGCGCGGGAACCATATGTGAAGCAGTGGACCTCTGAATGCGAAGCTCATTGGGACGCAGCCATCAGAGGAAATTCAGCAGTGAGAGAAGTTTTCTTGCGAGCTATCGACGAAGAGCTCGCAGCTCGGCTTCATGTTCAGCTGGGCAACGGCTTGCTTGATATCAGCCAGTTCTACGACACCGTAGGATGGCTGATGGTGGGCAGAGCGGCTATGAGGCTTGACTTCCCAGCCGAGGTGCTGGGGCTGGAGTTGATGCAGTGCGTGGCGGCAAGGTGTTTGAGGCAATCTGGTACATATTCGGAGCCATTCGCTCCACTTCGTTCAGTTGTTCAAGGCCTCCGAGGAGGCACTAGATTTGCTAAGTGTGCGACGTACCACATCATGCATCGGCTCACGACGGTGCACGTGGGCATGGCGCAGTGGCTGTGGCTGGATGACCTCAGCCAGTCAGTCAAGAGCACTCGGGAGACGATGCGCAACAAGCTGGTGAGGTGCCTCGTCGACCCCTGCCGCCCGATGAAGCGAGCGGGGCTGGCCATCTCTCCCAAGAGCGTGGTCGTCTGCACGAAGCTGGATGACGCCAAAATCATTGCCAGGCGAGTGCGTGCCCACGGATTTCAGGTTCGTGCTGTTCCCCAGGCGCCGTACTTGGGGGCCGACCTGGGGGGGAGGATTTTGACATGCTCGTGCGTGCAGGACCGCTCGGCAGGCCAAGCACGCGGCCATGCACACGCGCGTGATCAAGTACGTACGAGCTACTCGGCGCTACGGCCTCACCTCGAGGCTGGAGCAACAGGGTGCCCAAGCTGCAGGGTCATACGGGCACCAGCTCCATGGCGTTTTCGGAGATGCCATGACTCAATGTCGCAGGAAGCTAGGCAACGCTCTCGGCCCCAAGATGTCGGGCAGGTGTCTGACGACCCTGATCGACTTGAAGGCAGCAGGACGCGACCCAGCATGTAAGATGCCCCTCGAGTGCCCGCGGCTGTGGTTTTCTTGTTGGACACGACAGCCGAGCATCCGCGACGGCATCAATCGCACGTGGCATACCTTGGTTCGTGATTTGTCGGCAGTCCCTCAGGCTCAGCGTGCCAGGCACATTCGAGGGCCCCAAGGAGCTGTGATATGCTACCTGCTGCAGGCGGGGTGGCGGCCTGTTTATCCTACATGTTGGATCACACCTAGTTGTGGCGACGGGCTCGAGCACAGTTGGCAGTTCGGAGTCGATCAGCTCACAGGTGTTGATAATATAGACATGCCCAATGAGTTCTTTGAAGAATATGAGCGCGCTGTGTCTGCAGGTCTCTGGCAACGAGCAGCTCAGCATTATGAAGGTGCAGGGCTCGAAGCGGGAGCTTGCAACCACTCGTGTCGACGACTACTTCAGCACCTCGAGGGCGCACCGGGTGGTCGTCGCCTCGCGGGCCTGATGCTTGCGATTGCTGTCGGGGCCACGTGGCCACGAATGAGACGGCAGGAGCGAGCCAAGCAGGAGATGTCACTGGATTGCCTTCGATGTCGTGGTCATCGAGAGACAGCCTTTCACCGCGTCTGGGCCTGCGAGGGCAAGTGTCAGCACGACATTTACGGTCTCACCGAGAAGTATTTGGGGGAAGCCTATGCGCAGGGGGAGGATGATGCCTGCTTCTGGACGCGAGGCCTCATACCTTCAGCATGGTTGGCAGTGGAGTCCCCTCAGAGTGACGAGTCCTGGAGCACTACTGGAGGCGAGTACGTCGACGGCTGCTTCGGGGAGGGCACGGAGGAGGAGCCACTGTACGTTTTCGGGGGCGCCAGCGGCGGCCCAGAGAGCAAGGACCCGCGGCTGCGGAGAGTTGGCTGCGGTCTTGCTTGCTACCACGACCTGTCAGAGAACATGGAGCTGTTCTTGGGAGTGTGGGGAGGACTTCCAGGAGCGCGGCAAACAGTTCCACGAGGTGAGCTTCTCTCATTCTACCTTGCCCTGCGGTGCAGCGCGGGGCATGTAGTCTACACGACCGACAATGAGAGCGTGATCATCGGCTGGTACACTCAGAGGTATCGCAACCCAGCTGGACCCGACAGCGATTTGTGGTGGAAGATTGGACGGCATCTCGACGCACATCCCAGTTTGCAATGCACAATGTTGTTCGTCCACTCTCACCTCGAGGCTCTGGACCTGCTACAGGGCAAGGCGCCCAAGCTGCTCGTCACAGGTAATACCGCGGCTGACGCCTTCGCCTCGACCGCAGCGGACAGGGCCAGAGTGTCGGGTGCAAACAGAGCGAGAGTGCATCAGATCGAGAATAAAGCGTTCTTGGTTCGCATGAGAATTTTGCAGAGTACAATCGAAGCATTGGCCAGTGAGCAGGAGCATGAGAAAAGCCTCGGTAGGAAAGCTGCCCGTCGAGCCCAGCCTAGGCCTCCTGCCCCATCCATCTGTGCTATGTTTGCGTCTCAGCATGTCTTATGCGAATCTAATGTCAATAAGTGCAGTAGGTGTAAAGGCACGGCCACCAAAGCGAAGCGTAAGGACTGGCTAACCTCCTCCTGTTTCGAGCTAATTAATGTTGACGGGGCTTTCTTTGACCCCCCCCCCTGGGCGGCGGGTGCATATAGCAGGGGGCTTTCCCGACCCAAGTCATAATTTGAGGCATCGCGCGGGACTGGGAGTTTGGTTCTGTTCAGCGTGCGGGTTCTATGCAGCTCAGCAGCTTAAAGGACTAGCAAAGCCGTGTGTTGGCCGAGTCGAGGGTAATCGTAACGTATACCTCGATCGGATTTCTCGTGGAATTTGGCCTAAGGCTTACAGCAAAGCCGAGCTAGCCAAGAAGCAGAAGTCCAGTGTTTAATTCTGTCACCCCGACCTAGTCGCTATATCCAGAGCTCCAGAGCCCGCTCCCTCCCTGCCCTCCCTGCTCCCTTCGGCCTGCTCCCTCCTGCGTGCTCCCTGGCCCCTGTCATCCCCTCTCCCTCCCTCCCTCCCCCGAGCGGGGGTGGGGGCGGCAGGCCCGAGATGGTCGTGGGGTGGTACCACTCGCACCCGGGCTTCGGGTGCTGGTTCTCTGGCGCGACGGGGGCTCGCGTGCTGAGGAGACGGGGGAGGAGGTCGAGGAGCAAGAGAAGGAGGAACGAGGAGGAGGAGGAGGAGGAGGAGGAGGAGGAGGAGGAGGAAGAGGAAGACGAGGAGAAGAAGTCAGGCCCTGAGGAAGGACAAAAAAGACGTGGATGTGCGCAGAGGGAGCGGGAGCACACGAGGAGAAGGGGTCCGGGGGGGGAACAAGGAGCGGGAGGAGGTCGGTCGATCCCGTTGGACTCCTCACCCAAGGTGTGCAAGACGAGGAGACGGAGGTTCAGGAGCCGTCAGGCTCCGGCACACTCCTCGCTTGAGCGGGGTGGCAAGGTGGAGGCTGCACAGGGTCTCCCTCGCTGCCGATCGCTCTCCGACCGCGAGGCCTCCTGCACTCCTCCCCTCTTCCTCGCCCCCCCCCTCCCTCCCTCCTCGCGCCTCGTCCCCCTCGCTCCTCCTGCATCTGCTCGCCCTGTTCCCTCCCGCCGCCCTCCGCAGATATAGAGAGAGAGTCGCGCGACGTGGCGCGCGCGGGGAGGCAGTCGAACAAAAGCAGCTCCCCGGGGGTAACTTCGACGGCGGGCCCACGCTGCACCCCAGCGTTCCCAGGTAGCCTCCTCCTCCTCCTCCTCCTCCTCCTCCTCCTCCTCCTCTTCCTCCTCCTCCTCCTCCTCCTCCCCCTCCTCCTCCTCCTCCTCTCCTCCTCTCCTCCTCTTCCTCCTCCTCCTCCTCCTCCTCCTCCTCCTTCTCCTCCTCCTCCTTCGTGAAAGGAACGTGCCCAGGAGGCTTCGGACCCTGGAGGGTTCTGCCTTATCTGACGAGGGCGACGGTGCTATACCTGGCCAATCCACGATGGGCTTCCCAGTGGCCTCCAGGCCCTGGGTTCCTCATCGGAGGTTTCCTTGTCCAGTGCCCCCCACCGTGTTGCGTAGTCTTCCCTCTCTTGTCTTCCCCACCCACGTGCTTCTCACTGCTCCTCGTCCTCCCATTCTCATCCTCTTCGTTTCGCTCTCTCTCTTCCCCTCGCTTCGCTCCGTGTGCGCTTTGGCGCCTCCTCTCTTTTCGCCGCCGCTGTCCAGGCTGTGGCCAAGACGGCGGCGAGCGCGCGCAAGGAGCAGGCAGAGCATTGAGGGGCATTCCCTGATTTTGTCGTCGTGTCAAAGTAGAACTCCCTTGGTACAGTTCTTTGGCGGCGGCGGCCTTGACGACGACGGTGACGACGAAGAGCACCGTGGCAGCGGCGACAGTGAAGGCGACGACGACTACGGTAAGACGAACGCGGCGACAGCGACGAGTAGACGACGCGACAAAGACGACGGGAACGGGGGCGGGGGCGACCACAACGACGGCGACTACGGCAGCGGCGGCGGCGACGACCACTCTGGCGTTGGCGACGACGGCGGCGACGACGATCACCACCGCTGCGGCGGCGACGGGGGCGACGTCGATTCCAATGTGGACCCTGTGTGGAACCCGGCGACGGGAGGGACTGGCATGGGGAAATAATGGGAAAGTGGCGAGGAGGGCGGGGGCGAGGTGGAAGGCGAGGCGAAGTACCACACAACGACGACGACGTCATCATCGGAAACCGCGGCGGCGATGGCGGCAACGACAATCAACGTAACAGCGGCGCGTGCGGCGACGATGTCTACGACGACGACGGCGATATCGACGGCGGCGTTGGCGCCGCAGGCGACGACGACAACGACGACGACCGTGCCGAGGACAATTGCGACGGCGACGGCGGCGAGAGCGGCGTCGGTGGTGACTGCGACGACGAGGACCGCAGTGGCCTCGGCAGCGGCGGCAGCGGCGGCCGCGACGACGTCTGTTTCGGCGTCGGCGACGACGAGGACACCAGTGGCGATGACGACGACGAAGACGACGACTGCGACAACGTCGACGACGACGACGACGACGACGGGGACGACGACGATGGAGACGACGACGACGGCTTCGATGTCAACGACGACGACCACGGCGACGACGACGACGACGATGGCGACGAGGAAGCACCTCCAGCGCGGCAGCTGGGAGGCCAGATTTGCGAGGATGTGTCAGGCGCGACGGCATTTCGGGACCAAAGTTGAGAGGATGTCGCTGGCGCAGTTGGCCAGACCCCCATCACGCGCGGCACCTCGGAGGTCAGAGTTTCGACGAAGGCCGCAAGCAAAACAGGCTGGACCGTTTCAGAGTTCCAAGCCCAGAGTCGCGAGGATGCCCCAAGAAACGCGAGGATGCTCCATGCGAACTTGGCCAGACCGCTTCGCGTGCAGCATCTTCGAACCCCAGATTTGCGAGGACGTTTCAGGCGCAATTGGCTGAACAACCTCTCGCGCGGCATCTGTGAGCTCCGAGTGTCGAGGATGTCTCAGGCAAAATTGGCTGGACCAATTCAGGCCCGGACATTTCGGAACCCCAGCGAGGATGTCCCAGGCGCAAGGAACCGGACCACCTCAGGTCACGGCATCTCTCAGACCAGAGTTGCAATAATCTCTCACGCGACACGGGCTAGACCACATCAGATCAGGGCATATTTGAGCGCAGATTAGTTGCGAAGATGTCCCTGGCGACACGGGCCAGGCCACCCTGCGCGCGACATTTCGAAGCCCAGAACTTCGAGAATGTGTCACGCGAAATTGGCTGGACGACCTTGTGCGCAACATCGTTGGGCTCAGCGTTGCGGGGATGTCTCAGGCGAACATCGTCTGACTGCCTCTGGCGAGTCATTTCTAAGCCCAGAATTGCGACGATGTCTCAGTCGAAATTGGCTGAGCCACTTGCTGCGTGGCATGTTTGAGCCCAGCTTTGGGAGGATGTGTCAGGCGGAATTCGCTAGACCACCTCAGGTCAGGGCATCTCTGAGGCCAGAGTTGCAAGGATGTCCAATTCGAAACGGGCCAGACCACCTCAGGTCAGGGCATCTCAGCCCACAGTTGGGAGGATGTCTCCGGCGAACTTGGCCAGACCAATTCTCAGGCCCCCGGAGACCAGGACACAGATAAACCAGGACACGGAAAACCAAGGACACGACATCTTTTCCTGCAATGTCACGTTTTTCAGCACCCGTGCATGTTTTGCTTGCTGCACTGCAGGATTCGGGTTTGTGTCCGGGTTTAGCGGGTTTTGCAGGCCTTTGAGGCCTGTGTCCGGGTTTATTCTGGAAATGCTGCAGTGCAGTATTTCGTTCGTGCCGACGTTTGGAAAATTTGGTTTCGAGGGATGTTGGGTGTCCCCGGGTCTAGCGTGTCCGGGTCTACGGGGCCCTGAAATTCGGGACAAAGCATCGTTGAGCTCAGAGTCGTTCTGATGTCTCATGCGAAAGTCTGTTCTGAGAGGCGGCGAAGGTAGCAGTGTGGGCGAAGCTATCGTCGCCCACAGCTAGCACGGCACGGCACGGCACATCCGAACAGAACCCCAGTCAGCACAGCTGTCTGGGGACTGAAGCGAACGATATCCAAAGCCGCCTCTGGCGCGTGCCAGCCGAATGTTGGTTGGGATCAGGCTACGTTCAAGCCTCGAGATGCCCTGACGTGAGGTGCTCTGGAGCGTTTCTCCTGACACGTCCTCACACCTATGGGTTCCAAGATGCGTTTCGTGAGGTGCTCACGACTGAGACATCCTTGGAACCCAGGGCTCCCAGATGCCCTGACTTGCGGTGCTTTGAAATGTTTCGCTTGAGACATCCTCAGAACTCAGGGTTCCTAGATGCTGTTTCGCGAGGTGATCTGGCCTTTTTCGCTTGCGACATCCCCGGGATCTAGGAAAACCAGAGCAGTTCACTTTTGTTCGATTCGCGTCCCAGCCGAGCGAGCTCGTGTCAAACGCACTGGCGTCAGGCGGCGTCGACTTACCACATCTTGGGCAAACCTTTGAAATATCGAGTGGCGTCTTGTGGCGTCGAGTCGCCGCCATCCGTAGCATTGTGATAGTGTTTCCGCGCGTCAGGTTACGCCCTTTTCCGCTGACAAGCAGTACTATGTGAGTGATGGGTTTCAGAACTGCTTCAAGTTCCAAGTTGTGCTCGTAGTCGTAAATACGCGCGTTGTGCGTCGTATTCCCGCCCGTGGTCGCACTCATTTCCGCGGTCGCGCTTGCCGCCGTGTTGTTGTTATTTCTCGGAGTCGGTTTCCCTGTCCAGCGGTTGCTGGTCCCGCGAGCGCGTGAAGAGGCCGAACATGAGTTCCACCTGCGCGGCACGACGACGTGCTGGAGGCCAGCAGCAGCGGTCCGCGCCAGAAATTCGAGCGAGGGATGGCGGGAGGCACCGACGTGAACACGCAGCAGAGCTTCGAGCAGCTGAACCCAAGGCACGCCTCCGTGTTTGCGCCGCGATTGCCCTCCGCCCCTCCGCCCCAGGAGGAACTGGGAGTGGAGGAGCCTGCCCCCCCCCCGCGCAGGGAGGGGAGGGAGGAGGATGTGGAGGAGGATGTGGAGGAAGAGGAGGAGGAGGATGAAGATTTGAGGATGAGGATTAGGGTGAGGATGAGAGGAGGAGGAGGAGGAGGAGGAGGAGGAGGAGGAGGAGGAGGAGAAGAAAGATGAGGAGGAGGAGGAGGAAAAGGAGGTAGACAGTGTGGGGGGAGGAGGAAGAGGATGAGGAGGAGGAAGAGGAGGAATAAGAAGCGGAAGATGAGGACGAGGAGGAGAAGGACCATTGGAAATCCAAGAGGCACTCACGATGATGCAATCTCCCCCTCCTCCGTCTTGGCATGTTCCTGAGCGAATGTACGCTCAATTTGGGAAGTGGCCCATTAGAAGACAGTCGTGTGAGACTTCTCAATCGTGCCAGAACACAGCTCCTGGGTTTCCATCGCCGCGGATCAAAATGACTGTTACGCCGTGGCAGCCCTAAATCGTTCCAGAAATCTTGTCCTGGGTGTTCAACCTGGCGGATCAACGTCACCGTCGAGTCTTGGCAATCTGGAGTCGCACCAGAACGCCATTCGTGGAACTTCGACCATGCCAATATTTGAAGCTGTGGCAAACGGTTAAGCTAAGACGAACTTGCGCGGTGATAGTGCGAGAGCAACATTTTGAACAGGAGCCGTCCTCCGTTTTTGAAGCAGTTGCAAATTGTTATGGCGAAGGCAAGAGCAACCTTTTGAACATGTGCCGCCTCCATGTTTGAAACTGTTGTCAGCTTGGAAGATGAATGTGCGCGGCGCTAACGCGAGAGGCACAGTTTGAAAAGGACCCGTCGTCCATCCGTGCAAGTGTCTTGACCCGTTGAGACGAGTGTGCGCGTCGCTATGGCAGGTGCAACATTTCGAAGCCACCCGCCGTCCATCCGTTAAACGACTATAAACTTGTGAGGGGAATGCATGGGGTACCAAGGCGATTGCCACCAAGTGAAAAGGAGTCACGCTCCACTCTTGAAACTGTCGCATCGCACAATTTTAAGACGCATGTGCGTGGCGCTAAGGCGAGAGCCACATTTTGACAATGACCCTTCCTTTATCCGTGAAACATGTTGCAAGAGTTGAAGACGAATGTGCGCGGCGTTAGGGCGAGAGCCACAGTTTGACAGCGGCTCTCCCCCCTTGGCACTTCTGCAAGCTTTTGACTCGAATGTGTGTGGCGTTAGGGCGAGAGCCACAGCTTGACAGCGGCTCTCCCCCCTTGGCACTTCTGCAAGCTTTTGACTCGAATGTGTGCGGCGTTGTTAAGGCGAGGGGGCCGCAGTTCAAACAGGGGCCCGCCCTGCACCCGTGGCAACCGAGACAGAGTTCAGGCTGCAGGGTTATCAATGGCGGGGAGTCCACCACATCCCCCTCCTCCTCCTCCTCCTCCTCCTCCTCCTCCTCCTCCTCCTCCTCCTCCTCCTCCTCCTCCCTCTCCTCCTCCTCCTCCTCCCCTCTTCAATGCTGGCGAAACGCCCGCCCCGCCCCACCGACACGGCTGGGCGTGTGAGGGGCAGGGGTTCGCGTGAAGGCCTTGCGGCCGGCGCTGGGAGGAGTGCCCGAGGCGCGTGGGAGGCAAAGCAGCGAAGGGGAACGATTCTCCCATGGAGGGGTGCTCCCCCACGGTGATGGGGGTCACAACCCCTTGGACCCCCGCCAGGCCCCTCCCCCCCCCCGGGGGAAGGGATCAAAGGGGAGGGGCTTTTTTTCGTCTCGACTACGGCGTTGCTCGATTTCCCTTTGCCTGGGACGTTTGACGAGGAGGGCCCATTGACAGGGACAGGTCGGAGCGGTGACAGCGACAACGCCCACAACGACGACGACGATGACGACGGCCACGACGACGACGACCGCGACGACGTCGACGAGGACGACGGCGACGTGGACGACGACCACGACGACGACGTCAACCAGGACGACGACGACTCAAACGGAAACGCCAATCTCACACGCCGACAGGGTCGGTGGAGTTGTAAAGAACAGGGGTTGACGATGAGAAAGGGGAGGATGAGGAGGAGGAAAAGAAATGAGGAAAAGAGAAGAGGAAGAGCGAGAGGAGGGGGAGCAGGAGGAGGAGGGGTGGGAGGAGGAGGTGGAGGCGGAGGAGCTGGAGGAGGAGGAGGAAGAGGAGGAGGAGGAGGAAGAGGAGGACGCAGCAGGAGGAGGAGGAGGAGGAGGAGGAAGAGGAGGACGCAGCAGGAGGACGAGGGTGAAGGTGGAGGCAGAAACGCAGGAGGACGAAGACGGTGAGGGGGTGTAGCGGGGGGGATAGCTGCAAGAGTTGAAGACGAAATTGAGCAGCGCTAATGCGTGAACCACAGTTCGAAAACGATTCGGCATGGTTGTACATTGCAGGGAGGTCTTAAGCAAATCGCCCGGCACACCCTACCGACACGTCTGCCGGTGCGACATTGAGCAGGTAGTTGCAAGGAAAATGGATGGAGGAGGAGGGGGAGAAGTAGGAGAAGTGAAGATGACATGGGAGGAGGAGCAGGAGGAGGAGGAGGAGGAGGAGGAGGAGGAGGAAGCTTAAGAGAGGAGGAGGCGGAGGAGCAGGAGGAGAGGAGCAGGAGGAGGAGGAGGAGGAGGAGGAGGGGGAGGAGCAGGAGGAGGAGGAGGAGGAGTCGCGGGCCCACCGGCTAGATGTCGCCCCCAGTCGGTGGTGACAGAAAGGTCGTCCTGACTGGTGCTCTCCGGAGGGTTTTGCTGTCAATGTGCTCGTGGGAATCTCATGAGCGCCTACTGCGTGCGCAGGAGCAGGAGGCGGTGGAGGAGAAGGATGTGGAGGAGATGCAGGAGTAGGAGGAGTTGGAGGAGGAGGAGAAGGAGGGGGAGGGGGAGGATGAGGAGGGGAGGAGGAGGAGGAGGGAGGAGGAGGAGGAGGAGGAGGAGGAGGAGGAGGAGGAGGAGGAGGTGCAGGAGGAGGATTTGGAGGAGCAGGAGGAGAAAGAGCAGGAGGGGGAGAACGATAAGGCGACGACGCCGGAGTGGGGGTGTGGTCGAAAGTTGGGGGGGAGAGTGAGGAGGCAGAGCTCGAAGCGTGGGAGGAGTTGAATAAAGCAGCAGGCGGAGGGGCCTCCTGCCCCCTCTCCAGCGAAGCCTCCTAGAGCCCTCATGAAGGACATAACAGTTCCGAACTTCCCCTCCTGTCCTCCCTCCCACCCTCCTCCCTCTTGCACCCCGATCCTGGGATTCGGGTGAGGCTGCTCTTCCTCTTCCATCCCCCCTCTTTCCCAATCCCGCGTCCTCTTCACCCTACCTTTCTTCCTGATGTTGTCCTTCTGCTCCTCCCGCTCCTTCTTCGCACCATGCCCTCTTCTCTACAGTCGGGCCGCTGAAGAGGGAACGCGTTTCGTTGGGGAGGGGCTGAGTGCTCCTTCATTGTTTCACAGTTTGTCCCAGGTGCTTCCTAGGTTTTCCAAGGGAAGTCGAAGTTGAACGTACGGAAGACAAGTGGCCTCGTTCCTTATCCAGGGTTCCTTCTGACAGCGCTTTGACTGTACGGTCGGGGCGCTGAAGAAGGAACCCTTCTCGTTGGGGAGGGGCGCCGTGTTCCCTAATTGCTCCCCATCCTGCCTTTGGTATTCCTTCTGTCTTCGATGGGAAATCGCAGCTGAACTTCTGGAAAAAAAGGCGCCTCGTTCCTCATTCAGGGTTCCTTAGAGGTCAGCGCCCCGACTGCAGTGCGCCCCCCTCCATCCTATCCAGTGCTTCTCGCTCTGCGGCTGGCCCCCACTCCCGCTCGGAGCGGATGATCTCAGAGCCGCGTCAGGGTGCCTCGTTCCTTATTTAGGCTTCCTTAGAGGTCAACGTCCCGACTGCAGTGCGCTCCCCTCCTTCCCATCCAGTGCTTCTCGCTCTGCGGCTGGCCCCCCCCCTCCCGCTCGGCACGGCAGATCTCGGAGCCGCGCTGGGGTGCCTCGGGCGCCGCCCTAAAAGACACCTGGGAACCTCGTGCGGGGACGGATCGGACCCAGAGGGCCCCAAGAGGCCCCCAAGACGGCCCCAGGGGGCTCTGGGACGCCCCAAGATGGGCCCAAGACGCCGAAGATTGGGCAAAGACGGTCCCAGAGGCGGCCAAAATGCCCAAAGAGGCCCCCCAAGAGGCTTCCCAGCAGGGCCCCGAGCGCGACAAATCGTAGATTTTCATTGTGTTTTTACATGTTTTTCGCATTCTCCCCTTTTCGCTGTTCCTGCGCTCCAAGACGGCCCAAGAGGAGGGATCGGAGGTTTTTCGCTATTTTCGGCCTCCAGGGGCTCTCGCCGGGCCCCAGGACCGTCGAAAGACGACTCGGGATGAGAAGCCGGTCCTGGGGAGGGGGTCGAGGCTTCCGGGGGACCCCGTGTTGAAAACGTCACGACATCGGATATTTGGGGAATCTGCAGCGCAGGTTGAGATGTTGGGGCTGCTGTTGGAATCTGGTCTGCAGCTCTGCATTCTTGCCTACGACCGGGTTCGAGCAGCAGGTCGAACTTGCCAGATCAAAGGTACTCTGGTGTCCTGTGCATCCCCGGCCACTTGCAGATTTGGTGTTCGCGCTGTCAATGCTCTGCTCTCCTAGGGCTTTGCAGCGTCGTCCCGTAGCTGCCTGCACGCCCTCCTATGCTCAGCTGCGTTCTTGCTCGTATGGGCACAGCGCCGGCCTGAGGAAATCTTGAGAGGTCCCTTCCAATGTGTGCATCGTGTCCTCTGCATTCGCGGGGCAAGGGTGCCCCTATGGCCTGTGATTTTCGCGGATGCCGGTGGCTTGGCCCGCGGCGTTCTGGGCGCTTCGCGCCGCGAGGTTGGTCGCGGCCCTGGCTCGGGGAAACGCAAGACTCGAGTAAGCCTGAACTCGAGTTTGCAGACGTTTTTTGACGAGCGCGTCCTGGA